CTTCAGTTGTAAGCTTATTACTTCACTTCTGATATTTCCATCACTACTTTCTAAAATCTGAAAACTTTCCACAACCTGGACTTTGGAGGATCTGAGAACTTGGAGCTACAATAGATGAATCTGGTAACCATAGCAGTGCTATAACTGGTCATTTGCAATGGCTTCAGCCAGTGGCAGAGAGCACTCTTGTCACTGTTGAATGGAGCCACTGTTCTGTGACAGTCACTCAAAAGAAAACCCCACATAATGCCTTCTGCCATTAACGGGGGCCTGCAAGAATGTTCAGTGAAATGCACCTGGATTTGTCAGAACTTACAGACAAATGTCTCTACGTGCGTACAAGGGTCCCCACACTTTGGGCAACACAGCTGGTTTGAGGAGCCATTCCCTCCATCGCTGCTACTCCCTGCACCACTACCGCTGCTGCTACTTCCACTTGTGCTACTCCCCCTGGATTTCCGTCCACCAACTCCATCACCTTTAGACGATCCATCTGTTGCACTGGCATTAAGGGCTTGTGTGGACGCTAGACTTCTGCTAAGAATGAGGCTGACATTCAAGGATGAGGGTGTGGATGACTGGGGGAGCGGAGTGACGGATGTAAGTGGACGTGCACTGTAACCATGGATACCTGGGTAAAACAAAATCTTTGTCAGGATCGAGGCATGCAGATATTGTTTGATTAGTTCATTCCATCTCAAGCCTTCCAAGCACAAACTTTATACAACTCCAGGAAAAAAAGCAGAGTGCTACTTCCGATTGTTTCATCTGGCTTAGATGTGGAATCATGTAGAGTGCTTGCTTGGTACAAGAAGCCTGATGGGATTTCTTTTCTCTATGATGCAAGGAACTTCAGTTGCATTAAAGCTTGTAAGAAACTCAGACGATGCAGTTGAAAGGCGTTGGGGGGTCTGTCCAATAAGCCTATTCGATATGACGATATTTCACGCTATTTCGATATGATGTCGATATTGGATATCACATCGTTCGTACAAACACATATCATGATATCGTACAAATCGATTTGCCAAAAATTATCGCGATAAGCTCTAAACGATGTACTGTACATGCACACAGGGAAGTCAATACACCACGTGTTGAGCCCTGCATGCATTACTGCAGTTAGGCCACACAAATACTCCATTGAAAACATATTTTCCCCATTTTGGGGGTTGCCTTATTGAACGAACTTTACCGCTAATGTGTGCAGGGAAATGGCTTTTTCCATACGGTGCCATGATATGATATATGATAAGCTAATTTCCATGTTGAAATTTGCTTTCCATCAGCATATAAGAGTTCTAAATGTAGAGATAATACAAAGGCCTGTACATCTTTCTTTTTTTTTAACGTGGCTCTCGAGACATGGTGATTTCGGTTGTGTTTATTTTGTGAATGGAAAATGACGTCATCACGATAATATCATGAAAAACTATCGCGATATGAAAACAAATGAATATCAAAAACAGGCTTATTGTCCAAATTCTGCAGTGCATTATTGTTCAATCAAAATTAAGTCAATAGTTTGTTTAGTTTACCTGACATCTTTATACAAGATATTTTGATGGTCCAAACCCAGATGTGGATAACAATATAAGATGGTTGAATCCACTGAATACAATGTGACTACTTACATGGTACACCTCGCAACGCCTTAGCAGGACTGCTCCCTCGGCACAGAATACGCCTGACTGGGGTCAGATTGCAGCGTAGACTGGGCGGCATGATGGTCTTACTAGATACCTTTGGTGCAGTAAAATGATGCTTGTTAATGTCACTGTGGGAGTCCTGATGGACTTTTCTCCATACACGCTACAGCACGTTCTCTGTCCAATCTGCAACAAAATGTACAGCCATGACAGGTAAGAACTTACTAAACGCAACCAATTAACTCTTTGCTACATGTAAGATATTTCCAGAATTGCCCTTATCTTTCATTGTACAGCTAACAGCAAGTTCTATACTCCAAAATAAAACGGAACACGGAAAAGGGCTAATGCTTGGTTCTACTCTCCTGCATCCTTAAATTGCTGCCAAACCTACAACTCAGAGTAGGAATGATTTTTGACAGGCTCAAGGCAGTGGGTAAGGCAATTACTGAAAAAATGTTATTATATTTTATACCCAAGTTTTAAACATGACTCATCATCCACTCTATTTCTATGCCGAATGATACAATCTCGATGATCAATTCAAAGTAACTTTGTGCCAGATAAAGCTGGAATTTGATGAACCACAAAAGTATTCTTTACTGAAATTTTAATATGTAATGCAGTTCAAGATATTCCATAAGTAAGCTAATTTTAGAAAAAATCTGAGATTAAGCAGAGACTGCTGGTGTCCATAATAATGAACCATGGATCAACCAAAATTCTGGTTGGACATAGAGCAAGGAACAGACCATATCAGTACTCATAGAAGTGCACTTTGAAAATGCTAACATAACCTGGCTGCACCAATTTAAACTTGTTTTAAACTATGCGCACATAATCATTCAACCCGTTATGTCATGACTGCAGGGTCATCAAGGTCACCATCATATCCGTACAGTGTACTGTGTACAAAAACCCAACCCTATAACTTAGTATAATAGGTCCCTATAAATAAGGCTGCAAGCTAGCAACATCATTCATAGCCTACATCTACATAAACCTGTATTATCACTCATGCCATATACATTCATGACATTTTACATGAAATTCTTGATACACTGTGAATGCCATCAGTCCACATTATCACTTTTTTATAATCATCTGTGGAACCACGGAGAACCTAGCTTCTCAAAACAGTATGTAGCAAAATGATCGAGGCCACTTTACTTGCACAACAAAACCAGGGTTGATCATGCGCCGAGTGAGTGATCATGACCTTGCATTGGCATCAGCTAGTTGTTTTCATTCTCAAGCGTCGACGCGGGACCGTGGCCTTAGCGATGGTGACTTGTGACTTCAGACCAAATTATGTCAATATATCGCGAGTAACATCTGGTAAACTAAAGGTGCATTTACCTTTAAATACAAGCAGACGAGGAAAAAACACAAGTTCTTTCAATGGAAAGATTTCCAGTTGATGCAAGCTCGACCTTCCCTCCGCAGAATAGTATGCAGATATACATCCTCTCCGCGAATAATAAAATTTTAACTATTGTTTTCCTTACATTTTTTTAATTGGTGATCTTCATCAAAATCAAAATCTATAAAATAGAATGTATCAATATTAAAACTAATTCTATCTGCCCCTGTAAATAGTTAAAACTTTTGAATTCGACTTTTTCAAACTGTGACATTTTAAAGATTATGTCATTCTTTGTTGTCCCATGTGACATAACCATAAAAGCAAGATGGCAGCCTCCAGTGGAAATACGTTTTTCCGTCAGCAGGGTCTGATCGGATGATCCCAGTTGTGATCACTCTGTTAGTAGTGTTAAAAATTTGTGATAAATAATAATTTCGTTTTCAGTTTTTAAGATATGGTTGAACTTATGCTCAGACTTTTTAAAAACTCGTTTCTCACAGTTTGTTCTTAGACCGATCTTCAGCAGTTGCTTGATTTGACCGAGTTCTCAAAATGGCGGGGCGTGGCCGCGGCAGAGGTAGAGGGGGTTCGACTGTGGCTTTCACCGCTGAGGTATTAGGCTTGGGCCGTGGTGATCATCTGCCCCCAACGACATCACAACCTCCACCATTGTTTCCAGTAGGAAAGTTTCTGTTATCCTGAATTTTCTAAAGCCAATATTCTTTCACCATGTTCACCGATTTCCAACTAGGCTTAACATGACTAACTTACTCCCAAAACTATGAGCCACATAGAGTGTGACTCACAGTTATGAGAGTAGGAACTAATTTAATTCTTGGAATCTTAACTTGTTAATTTTATTGAACTTGAAAATTTAAGGTTTTATTTGACATGTTTGAAGTTGTTATTACATTAACCACGATAACGTTAGCTATGCCTATTCATCAAATTTGTACTGCCGCAAAGTAACAAAAATTAGACATAATAGGCCTAGCAAATAGTTTAAGTTATCAAAGAGTTTTTGCCAAGTACACACTTGATTCACAGTCGGATACATATAACAGTAAGTTAATCTTTGGTATTTTCAGGTCAGGTAACAAGTGAATTGAATGTGACCTGGTCACTGTTAGTGCATGTTGCCAAGTGATTCAAAGACATTTTCAGTGCATCTAATTTTGGTTTTTATGAGATTTTAACCGTATTTAACTTTCGTTCCTTCATGTATATTTTGGTTGTAGCCCTTGGAGTTTCGCCCTGTGCCCTTGCCAACAGGAGATGAATGGGACTACATGCTATTACTTAAACAGGAATTCAGGACTACAATGAAAGACTCACCTTACTTCATCAAACCTCAGGACAAAAAGAAAGGCAAATCTTTATTAAATGCAATTTCAATAGAAATGTCTGTTTGAGCAACAATAGAGCCAAGTACAATTGGTTCAATAAGTGCAATATGTTCTTAGCGTAGTCCACGAGAGCAATTATTATTATTTTAATTATTTCTGTTCGTCTAACAGTGCAGTAAGCACCAATTATGCTACCTGAGCTTATGAAGAAATATTTGTTAGAGGTGGGAGAAAAACTGGGTAGATATTCCAGGGAAACCCACGGAATCCGGTACGGCATGAGAACCCAATTCACTCGGCACCACTGGTGGGGTTCAAACTTTGGATCATAGAAATGGAAATCATGTAAGGAAAGAACCACTACATGTATGCTGACTCGGTCTGCCATTTTGAAATGCTTGTCTTTTCAGCCCAAGTGTGGGATATCGTGTGCAGTAAGAGAATACTGGACCCTCATTACATCATAACATCTTGTTTTTGTGAAGAAGTGCTTTCTAACTTAAAGGTATCAACCCTTTTAATTTTCAGATATTGAGAGATACTCTGACAAGTATCGAATGAGTAACAACACAGACAATACTATTGGATGGACTCCAGACTGGAAACGACTCCCAAAAGAACTGAAAATTAGAGTAAGAAAACCAGGAGAGGCCACAAGAAGTAAGTTGTTGTCTTGATTTCTCATTCTAGGTTTTCTGCCTTTGGATTCATTTTAGAAAAGATTCTGTTGGGATGAACACTTCAGGTCTGAAAGAAGTGTACAACAGTTTCTGTATTGGACATTTTTCAAGAGGATATGTTGAGTGTCTTTAATGTGTGACTTATCAAAATGTGGAGCCACTTTGTTGAACATTCAAATAAGTGGACATCAAATTGGAATCAGTTCGTTCCGCGCCAACTTTTTAGATTCTACTGAGTCATCCAAAAATATAGTGGAAAGTAATCAATTAATCTTGAATAATAATGAATCGTGTTGCATTTGTTTCATCTAATTATTTTTCCATTGTACAGAAGTTGGGATGAAACCCAATCTCCAAGCTGCAAAGAACGTTTCCAAGAAGGATGTTGAGGTTGTCACCCAAAGACTAGCTGTAAGTTGGAGTTTTCTCTGTCTCTAAACTTGTCAAAGTGTCCCAATAACATGCTGAAAATATTCACATGCTGGAAATGGTTTAAAAATATAATGCTGAAATTACTGGAAAACGAGGAAAAAACAAAGAATTCAAGAGATGAGGGCCGTCAGAAAATAGCTTGTTTGTAACAGTGTCTTCAATATAGTGTTCTTTGTACTGACAGCTGTATATTCTGTAGAGCACCAGAGCTGGAGATTTCAATTTTGTGTTCAATTTTGTAGTTTATTTCTTCATCCCATTTTTCGTGAATACTTCCTCTTCATGAAAATTCTCGAACACTCTAGATATTTGAAATGGAGACAAACTTTCAGAACGTACACTTGTGCTTAATAACTTCAAGTTCAATCGTTTGCTGTTCTTTGAAAATCATTGGGTAGAGCCTGCGAGTGGTTAAATCAAAAGTATGAAATTTTGTCCAGTAAAAGATTTAAATTGAATTTTTGTCATTTTAAGATTGCAAATTTTTGAACAGGAGTTGGAACAAAAGGAGACAGAAGCAGGATCAGGAGATGAAAAGCAAGATGAGGAAGATGAAGAAGAAATTGATGAGGAGGAATATTATGATGAAGAAGACCAAGAAGAGGTTAGTCATGTGATTGTAGTCACATGATCTGTCACATGACAAGTCAGAAAAGTGATATTGTTTTGCTCATTGTGTTGAATTATTTCAGGCCGATCATAATATGCATGTGCATGCAATTTGATCTCTTTTGTGTGAATGTTTTGTTCACTTTAAGTTTAGGTATTATATTCTGTTCCTCGCTTGAATGTTGATAATATTGTTTGAAGGGGATGGCTTAAATTGTTACTATACAATGCAACATTGAAGATTTTCCCAGAAATGATTTTTATGTATTTACCCGTACATTGTTTTTACTTACAGGGTACAGATTACATTATGTCGTACTTTGATAATGGAGAGGATGATGTGAATGATGAAGATGATGGGCTTGATGACGGACCAATCTATTGAGGAAATTGATTGATCCAAACTTAGGTATCTGAAATGCCACATAGATCTGTCGGATGCTTTGATTGGTCCATTCTTGTTCTGGAACCAGTAGACCAATCTACTGAGGAAGGCTATTGGTCCAAAGCTAAGCACTAGAAATGTCATATGGATTTGTTGGATACTCCACTACTGAGGAAGGTGATTGGTCCAAAGCTAAGCACTAAAAATGTTATATGGATTTGTTGGATGCTCTGATTGGCCCTTTCTTGCTGTGGAACCAGAAGATCAATCTACTGAGGAAGGTGATTGGTCCAAAGCTGAGCACCCGTAATGTCACGTGGATCTGTCAGATGTCCTGATTGGCCCATTTTTGTTCTGGAACCAGTAGACCTTGTTTGCTTTTTGGAGGAATACAAATTACATGTAAATGAAAAAAAAGTAGTTATGAAACACGAATTGGCTTTGGCATCCCCTTTAGTAAAATGTGTCCACCACGTTCCCTGGAGTACACAGTCACTTGCAATACAGGCGTTTCACAATAGTGTGCCTCCAAGAGTTTGGAACGTATTTGCCAATCACAACACGCGAAATTTGACAAGACAACCCTTTCCAAATGTGCATTGGGTCAACAGATTTTGCGCATTGTGATTGGACAAAGCGTTGCAAACTCTTGGAGGTGCATTATTGTGAAACACCCGTATGTAGATCTGCTTTTTATTCGATTCTAAATGCCGTCTTCAGTTATTTTTCAAGAAAATGAATTCTCTCATGGAAAATTCAATTGTACTACACGTGCTCACTGGACAATCTAACGGTTGCAAATACGATTATTGTAATGATTTAATACAAAACCAAGGACAAATATGTTTGTTAATCCACAAGATTTATTTTGGTGACTGATGAAGTAATAAAAGACAATTTGTTTTACATGATTTAGTTAAAAATGTTTTGACGACGCAACTTTCATGCCCTACAATAAAATAAATACAAGTCAAATAGTGAGGGAGGGAATCTACAACATTTTTCAGATTTTAGGATCTTTACAAAATCTACCAGCTGGGAATCGGATAATATTTTACCTACAGATCTTGCACCTGGTGTTCAAGATAGGAAACAGATTTTAAAATTGTATTTCTCCAAGGAGTCTTGCCAACCTTGCCCTCAATCCAGCTACATGTATATGAAATAAACGAGTGCCAGGATTCTCAACATCGTAGCATCAAGCTCAATGTGAAAACCCCTCCACAAGCTATAAAATCTGGACATTGGAAAAGAAATTCTCACTGATTTATTAAAATGTCAGTGCTGCTTACCTGGTAAAAGCATTTTCAGGTGACAACTCATGTCCTAGATCACTGAGACAAATTTAATCTCCCACAGGTGACTAAGGTTCTTGCCTGTGGAACTGATTGGTGCTTGCTATACTTGTATTGCGTACCCTGTCATCATAACCATGTCATTCAAAAGCTTTCTTTTTTTTTAAGAAACAGTTTTTCTCCCCACATCAACCAATGATGGCTTCTATTGGAGTCTGTTTCTATTTTTGTCTTTAATCTAAGAGGTCAGGCAGTTTTTCTATTTACTCAAACCCTTGTGTTTACATTCTTTCTGACCACATACATTTATAATCCGTACTTCTGAACTGATACGTAGGAAACAACACTCAACAGCCAACGCCTTACACAATCACAAAATATATACCAAAAGGCAGGTCTGCAATTAAAAACACTTAGTTTCAAACTAAAGAACTTGTTTCAGAGCTGATTTGTAAAGAACTAAATAACTGGAAGTTTCCTCATTTTAAACAATTCTCCAACGGTCATGACAAAGCAGAAAAACCTCCCCATGTAAATGAACAGATCGCGGAGATGGAGTGTCAATAGAGAATATTGCTTTATGTTGGGAGCTAACACTTAACCAGTATAGACCTTACGCGTATGATGTCACAGTAAAAGGTATTTTTTTGCTTCTGGGAGTGGGATACGCTTGAGTCAGCTTTCTGTGCATTCATTGTAACGATATTAAAATAACAGAGAACAGCATCTGACACCAGCAAAACAACCTCTAAACCAAGAAATTCCACAGACCTTAAACGATATAAAGGTTCCATTTCTCCTATTTAAAATTCCCTTTCCTCTCAGGCCCCATGAACATCAATTAATTCCCCTTCCAAACTCTCATCAACGGCAGCGGTCCACAACCTTACTCCCAGAATTGTGCGTACATTGTACTGGCATTTCAAATGGAAACTATGCATGATTCATTTATACACAACACATATAGTGCATGGAGCCATATGGAAAAACTCTGCCTAACTGGCTACTGAAGGCCAAGGCGGGATGTTAGTGAAGGATCAAGTTTTGAAAAATAACAATGACAGTAACAATGCAAACATACGGTCACAGGAATAATTAGGCCTCATTAAAAATATCCGAACACATCCAATGGCCACACACATCTATGAGAAGTGGATGTGGCTGTCTCCATTGGTCAATGCATTACAGTAAGCCACAGCCAAGCAGGTTACATGCAGCCTGAAACGTCAGGATTGTAATGCACCACAGTCGACATGAGCCTGCACAAGAGAGTAATTAGTTTGTCCGTGTGTAAAATGGCATGAAACGGATGACCCAAAACATGAGATATTGTCCTTCATGCGTACTGTAGAGGAATACCAAGAGTAAAGTTCTCTAATAAAAAAATTCTGTTGGTTCCTTATCTCGACATTTTGATTTCATACAGAACACTACAATGACATCGTGGAAGTATTTCTTTTTTTGGGGGGGAGAGGAGGTACTTTTCATATCTGTTCTTCATTTTTATTCACTGATGGATAAACAGTTTATTTTAAGACAGATTTTTTCATCTAAAAGGACCATGTCATTCCTCTGAAGTTGTGCAGGCTATCACTAGAAAACTAATTCCTGAATGCTGGACAACAAACTGTTAAGAATCATGTGCTTTCGGATGCAGAAAAAAGCACATACACGTCCTCTTGACCAATGTCCGTGTGGCCACATTCAGGCATGTACACCAAAATGACCCCTTTCTTTTCTACACATTTAATTTGGTAAAATATATAAATTATCAATTTGTCTACTATAAACACTATACATGTACATCCCCACTAAATGACCTTGTTTTCCTCTCAAGTTGTGTTCTGATGTAAACTGACAGGTAATTTTGGTCTGACAAAATTGTCAACATTTTAAAACATTTGCATGTATGTATACAACTTGCTTATTTACACTTGGTTAAAATATCCCCAGTTCATTTTTTATTCAGCTTCTTTTCAATCATTAGCCACTGACCAACCCTACATTTGCAATAAAATGGAACCACTTACGAAAAACCCTGAATTTAAATCAAAACTATGGTGGGCCAAATTTTTATGCACTGATTTTGCTTAGATGTGTTTCCTTCATTAGACATGTTGAATTCAGAAACACTTCAAACCAACACGAACAAACACAAAACAAAACCAAAACCACCCAAAGCAATCGTCTTGAGATGGTACAATGTTAACCCCCCTCCCCCCGGACAAGAACCTTCATTATTTAGCAGAACATCTGTGCTAGTGTGAAATGCAAAGGGAACCAGATATGAAACTTAAATGGCCTAACAAGTGTACAATGAAAATAAGGCACAGGTGAATTGCAAACTGCATGAACATGAACACTTTCTGGTGGCTTGATTTCACTGCAATATTAGCAGACACATTCTTGGGCACATTATAAAGAACAAACATGACTGCTGATTTCCAAGACTTTGGTTTGGCTGATTTATGGGAAGTGCGAAATACAAAAGGTCTGAAAATGACCAAGCTTGTTTTACAATTGATAAAAAGTTACATTTGAAGAAAACGACACATGACAATGTAAAACCCCCCAAATTTCCCAACAACTCCCACTGTCTATACATCAGAGCACCACAAAGCAGGACCAGATACTGAACATGTGTACACAACAAGGCTGCATTCATTCAAGATTCAATCCTGAATCATAGTCAAAGGTTTAACATTACATTGTACAATTAGCTTAGTTCTTATAATTGTTTTTCTCCAAGATTTAGTTAAGATGAACATGTATTTAGAATTCTAACAGTAACTATTTTTTCATTCAAGCAAGCAGCTGTCATGGCTGTTTGCTAGAATGGGGAAAAAAATAAAAATAAATGCCTACTAAAGTAGGTACAGCAACAGCTATCAGGACAAATATTAGACATGCTGATTTCCAGGTTAGTCCACATGTCTCTTCCCAATGAGTCCTTTTTCTTTGCTTCTCGAAGTACGGCAGCAGGAGTGGGTGGATGCGGGGCTCGGTCAGAGTTGAAGTGACCTCCTCCAGGGACTTCTTCTGCGTCTGCGTGGCTTGGCAGATCTTCTCCAGGTCTTGGTCCATCTTTTTCAGGAAGTCTCTGGCTGTTGTCTTGTCCCGCATGCAATCCCGGATACTGATCTGCCGTACTAGGAGATTGTCCTCCTCCCCGTAGTCACTCTCGTCCTCCTCACTGATGAAGCCCCCATTAACGAGGTGGCTCTCATCGGGAGGTTCCATCTTGGAGGCTGCGTTTGGGCGTCGCCTCCTTTCCTCTTGTTCCTCTGTCAGAAGACCATGCTGTTTGATTGGGATCTTAATCTTCCTTAGAGCAAAAAAGTCCTGGTCATTGATGAGATTGTTGCATCGCTTCAACTCAGCAACCTAAGACCAGAAAGACAGAACGTTTCTTGATACTCACTGCACAAACAAAACTTGATCAAGTTGATGAAATTAGAATTGATTTGCCTTTGAAAAAAATCCACTCATAGGACAACGAACTCGAGAGCAGTACAATAAATTTGTGTAAATGTCAAGATTGTGCTGAACAACAATTTGTGGATGCGACTTTGTGTGGCGTCAGGTCAGTGAGAGGTAAAAACAAATGCATTTTACATTGCTTTACATGGGAAAGTGCGTTCACCTCGGGTTGTTTTTATCGCGTTGGCTGGAAGTCATGGACAATGATGGACAAGTCAGGGCCTCCTGTCATTAGACTTATGGTTCAACATAAAAGCAATCATGACTTGACTACTTTTCACACAGTCTTTAGGCACAGCCTGGGCCTATTTATTTATTAATTTTTAAAATCAGATAAGCATGTCATTAATAAGAGGCATGTCCCCATTCCAATCACTTACTGGACATCCAAACTGTAAGGAAAAAATCTGAAGAGTGTCTCCACTTTCGATGTCCCTCTCGATAATAACTGGCTCAACATTTTTTCTTTTCTTCTTAACTTTCCCCGATCTTGGACGGAGCTCCAACATCTCGATAGAGTTCTGTGAGTCTGCATTGAGTTCGTCTTCGGCGACATCGGCATTGCCGAAGACATAGACACGGGAGTTGGGCACGTTCTGTACTTGGCCTTTGGCGGGGAGTAGCGCGGAGCGCAGCTGGTCGTTAGCGCCCTTGACGGCCACTGTTCCCGCAGTGTACAACGTGGTTTCATGCTTGTCCCGTACTGCTGCCTTGACGCCCGAACCGGCTGCGGTGCTGGTCATAATATCGCCACCGTCCTGGTGGTTAAAATGCCATTCATTCTACTCAAGTGAAATCTTTCTGAATCATGAAGACATCTCCTACAAAACAGTACAATTGGCTAAAACTATTTTCGGAGAAAATGTCAGGAAATCACTGAAATTCAACATTCATTCCAAACGAAATGCACACGACGTCTACCTGATGACACGATGGTACTTCCGGTAACCTTTGACATCTATACTGGTTTCCAGTACTTTGGTTCGGTTCTTGGAATTTGCAAGAATAGGGAACCAGCGTTAGGTATTGACAGAGGGCGCTATGTAGCTATACAAGGGGGGCGCTGAATCTGAAGCAGTTTCGGTGGCGTATGCCCTCCAAAATGCTAAAATTCACAAATTTGAAGCGATAAGATTGGAAATTGAATGTTGAGGTGAGAAATGAACTATTGGTCTAGTATTATTGCAATAGAAATATACTAGCTAGACAGCAGATATTACGGAACTTTGCAATGTATTTGAAAGAAGGCTTAAGAAATGATGTTGAACTTCATGTAGGCTCATGTAGACTGCACCCGAATCTGTTGTCTAGAGCTAGATCTGGGACTAAACTTTATTGGAAATACACGGAGATGCACAGACAATAGACCTAGGCTAGCTGTAGCTCTGGAAGCCTGTCCGGACACGGCCTTATTATAGGACCCCCTGAGTATTTGTTTCCTTTTAGCTAGGATACACTGTAAGCGTTGATAGTCTCAAGTTAGCCCAGGTGGGACGACGTCTACATTGCATTGCGAGTAACGTTCAGGGTATAAAAGTCCTTCTACTTTATGAAATTTTTTTCAACAGTTTTTTCTCACATTTTTACTTGGCAAAGGTGTGGCAGAACCAGAAATGAGTATGTTATGAAATACATGATTTTACTTAGAAGTAATTCCCCTTTAAAAATGTTTAGGCCCAGCCTGAGGTTGGAGTTCTTGATTTTTTTTTTCAGTAGTGTGCCCCCCTGTTTATTTTTTTTGAGCCCCAGCTCCCCCTATATAGTGTAGGCACATGGTCTAGCATCTGGACACATTCAGTATAGCAGATCAGCAGAGACCAGTCAACCTCATATGTATTGTTCCTCCTAATTGGAGTGTGGTTTTCTGCTTGAGCCGTATTCTGCTAGGAGTCAGTGATTGAAGTCTGAGTGTAAACTCATAAGGTCCATTTTACGCACTGTTTGGATTTTGGTTTTCAGTCGTTTAAATCTTAAGGTTTGGTTTTAGTCTTTTCAATGTTCTTTTAGTGCTTAAGTCTTTGTGGGTTTTTTGCATTTTTTAGTACTTTTTTCATTGATAAATTCTTTTTGTCCCTTTTTTTGAAGTCAAATACTGGTGTCTGAGTCCTCATTAATTCAGTTTCCTGTGACTTTTCCCTCAAAGATCCTTGGTTTAGTTAGAGTTTTTGTTGTTTTTTGAGTTCCCCATAGTGTGCCATTTTTCCCCGTTACAAAGGCAACTCAAAATGCATTTCGCGCATGTGTGAGTATGTGTGTTAGACAGATGAATGTACATCGTTAGCGAATTGTGACAGAAAGATTTTGTCTTGGACTCTGATAATGGATATTAATCATATTGGCCAATCAGAATCAGCTGGTGCCCACTTCAAAAGATAATGAAGGGCAATTATTTTCTTGTTTATTAAAAATTTGCAAAATACTTCTTTTACTATTCTTCTTGTTTCTGTGACTTGATGAGCAGGTTCTGAAGAAATGTTCTGAAAAAAATAAAAAATTGATTTCTGACTTGTTCACTTCCCCCAAAGGTTTATGCATAAGATGCACAGTTTGTCATCCAAACCCATTATGCATTGTGAACGTCGAAAAGGCTTATTCTTTTGTCACAGCACAGGCAATGACAGACATACTCTTTAATAGTTGGATGCCTTCGACCTTAAATTGTTGGCATCTAGAAACTTAGATTCAAAGTGGCGGGATGTAGATGCATGGAGGAAGAAATACTTGGTCATCTTGGTTACAGTGTTACAAATTAAAAAGGAATACCTAGGTTTCTAAGGCACCTCTGATTGCCGCACATGTTTGGTTAATCTGCGTGTTCTCTTGTGTAGGACACTGCATGTGTTACTGTACGTGTGCTTGTCCATATTATAAGTTTTACAGACTAGCATGGGTTGAATTTCAGTGGATGGTTTAACTTGAAGTTCTTGATTCTGGATTTGAAGTGGTTGTAATCATAAAGCATATGTCCAATCAATTTTTGTTTTTATTTCTTTAGTAGATATCCTTATGGCTGAGACAAGCAAACGCAAGAGGGAGGAATGCCCCTCATCACCAAGTAACGATGAGACAGATCAGCCCCACAAACGGCCCAAACAAGATTCCGACCAGGACTTCTGTGAAGAGGCTACTGCAGATCCAGAAACTCAGCAGAGCACATGCCAAGCATCCTCATTTGCTAGTGATGAAAGGACGTCAGACACAAGGCTTGCAATGATTGAACATGTTTTGTGTAAAGAAGACAGTGATTCCAAATCCCAGACACAAGCACAGACACAAGAAACACAGATCCCAGACCTTTCAAGTGTGAGCAATGTAGGCTCTGTCGATCAAGAGCCTAAGCCACTCCACCACCAAGGAGATGACACGTCTATTCATGCTGATTGGAGTGATAAGAGTAAACAGGATTTGGTTGGAGTTGTTGGAGAGACACAGCCAGAAGCATCTTTGGACAGGCCTGAAGCTAAACAAGCTAGCCTTGGCAATGGACAAGTGGGCTCATCATTGGATTGTGAAGGCGATAAGAGCTGCATAAAGAAAGGAGAGTCTGATATTGCTAATTTAAAGGATACGACGACAAGCCTGCCAACACTTGATACTGTTGATATGGAGGCAGTTCAGGCATTGACATTTCTGAAACAGTCTGCATCTCCGAGTAAAAGTTCAGAGGCGTCTTCTGCTCGTACTCACAAGAAGGAGGAGCCCCATCAGATGAACAGAAGTGGTACTTCAGTTTATACCGGGAGCATCAGACGAAAAGGGTTTTCCAAGGGCAGCCTTGCCAAGCATCATCTTCAGAAGAACATGATGAAGAAGTTAACGCCTGCGAGATCCAGTGCGGACACTGACTCTGACAGCCAACGGGACAGCTCCTTGTCTGTTTCACCACAGAGGATGGTCATTGACTTGCAGCCGACGAGAAAGTCGGCACGTCAGGCTGCCAGGGAAGGCAAGGAGAAACCCTGGAGCACGATGATGAAACGAGGTAAAAAAGTACGACTGGAGAAGAAGTTTCCGAAGCAGAAGGATGAAGAGGACGAGGCATTGGAAGGAGAAGGAGCTAAGAAGAAGGAGAAGAGAGGACGGAAAAAGGGAACAAAGGGCCCATCCCTGGATGCAGCCGAGGTCCAGTTAGCAAAGGAAGCCTGTGACTTCTTAGAGAAGAGACTCGAGGAGAATGCTGCTAAAAACAACCTCTCTGTAGTCAATGTCAAGAACATCTTACATGTAAGAAATAATTCGGAATATTTTCGTGTGCTTTAAACATCATGTTCCTTTGCTAGGATCCTTTCCGTATCTTCCAAATCAAACACTCTAAAAGAAGTACATGTACATGTAGGTATATTTAGGTGAAGCCATGTACACGAATAAGTCAATAATTTCAGTGAAAAGATATTTTGATCAAGGAGGTCCTCTAAATCACAAATAATTGTGAAAGAAAAATGCATAATTTAAATACATGTACTTTCGGATTCCTTTTTGAGGAAAAATCTCCAATTTAAAAGATACCAAAATGTATTAGATTAGTGACATTGAGAATACTCTAAGCAACTGCTGTGACTCTACTTTTGTAAGTTGTTTTTATTTTAAACATTTGTTATCCAATTCCTGTAAGAATGGTTGTGATATTAGTTCTTTGTATGGAAATAAGTGGAACAATTTGAGTCTGTTGAGTCCCAGATCCGTTAGAATTATGATGAATTTTTGGACAGATGTGATTGTTACCATCAAAGGGTGCTATGCTAGTCAGCTGGTATTCATCCATTGTTTTCTTTCAGCATGTGATTACCAATGAGCATGTGCTTGCTATGGTTCGTAACACTATGGAGGATGAATCCACTGGCGACAAGCTAAGCCCGGCAGGTCCCTCTGATCAAACACCTGTTGTATTTGTAAGTTACAACAAAATACTGCGTCAATTCCAAAGTGTAAAGCCGCTCTGATTTTCTTCACTTTGTCTTTCCACAATTTCAGTAGCTCTGAATTGAAGTTGATACAAGGTGGTCCGATGATATGGTAGTCTTGCTGGGTACATGTACTTGTATATGATATCAAGGAACATTGACCCTAACTGCCCAAAACCTGCCATACTCCAACAGCAGGGTTTGTGAGGTTTTGGCAGGTTTGGTACCGTACCTGAGGAACTTGTTGTTGAATTTTGTGAGACTTAGGATGAAAGGCCCAGGGAGATGGTGTTGAATTCTGTGCGAGTTGGGACACAC